CCAGAAGCTGGAAACAGCGTTGTTCTGTGTCCAGCGACTGACAGGTTTATGCAAGAAGTCTTAAAAATGAAGGGGTGGAGCACATTCAGATTGGGGGTGTCTGAGTTTTGTCTTGCAAGGGTGGCCCCAAACCAAAATACACTACTGCCTTCCACATGCACCCATTAAAAATTTAGATGTCTGGGTTGTTGTTTTATTAGATGTCAACTTTGTGTTCAGAAACCAGTACAGATGCAAATTGTGCTAAATGTAGTTCTGCCCATCTTGGACATGTTATTTTTGGCATATTTAAACTCGTGCCACTAACCATTAGAATGTTTAGCACATAGTTTGACAAATAAATATTTAATGTATTATTTGTTATTTCTGCTAAATAAAATAATGCATAGCTGTTCAACCTTTTTTAATGAGCTGCAGAATTCTTTTATGTGACAGTGTTCTGTTATTTATGGATACCACAAAAATGTTCACAATATTGTAAATACATGACACATAAATGCTAGAAAACAAGAACACAGGTTGCAATCATCATGATAGTACATTGGTTTCAGGAAGATGAATGAAACATTCCAAGGTACTCAGAAAACAGATGCAGAGTGAGCTGAAGCAAGAGTATAAAAAGCTGGCCCTAATCAGCTGACTTGGCACTTTTCTTCTAGTGGCTTCCCAAGAGAACAGCATTGTTATACATATATATACACACTATACATCGGCTTATTTTATATAGTAACACCAAAAAACGTTACAGTGTCCAAAACTTATAGCAGCTGATACAATGCCTTTCCTTTAACTACAGTCAGATCAGATCAGCTAGATGAATTCTGATCCCAATGATTTGGTTTCCTTGGTGCATAGGCATGGTTATGTACCCATTGCATTTTAAAATATCAACTCCCCTAAGCTCCTATAATAATGGCTGGGCTGCAAAGGGCTGCCTAGGCACTGGAGTGGATTTACTAAAAAAAATGAACAAGGGCAGATATAAATCATTAAGGTGTGCTTAAAGGAGAATTATGAGGTGAGTGATTTTCACTCAGCCTCATAATCTGAGCCGACATGTGACAAAGAAACTGTCACAGGTCTGCTCAGTAGATCGGGAAGTGAGCGAGCACATACAGTCGCTCGCTTACTTCTCGATCTATCCCTGCAGAGAGCTGTGACTGTCACTCACGGCTCCCTGCAGGGATTCCCCCCCTCCCCTGTCCGATCCTCCCCTGAAATGGACGGGGAGGGCACAGCTGGGTGGACCCCGACAATATTGTCGGGAACCGTCCCGGCTGCAGCGGCTCAGTATACTGAGCTTTGGGTCACGGGAGGATGCTAGTTTGTGTCCTCTTGTGACCCTAAAGAGAACTATGGGGAAAAGCCCTAACCCCATAGTTCTCCTTTATATCATGGGCCTTCATACACATGCAGATGATTGCATATAAAGCCAGTGCAATCTGTGAACCTAGCTGATCATACAACTGATCATTCAATGCATATGGTGCAGCCCTAAATTGCCATGCACATTAATCATCCAATAGTGCTGCCTTCTGTCTTGCAAGGTGCATTATAGCATGTGCATGTCAACATTCTTAATAAACACATATTAAAACAGAACCCTGGGCAAATAAATTCTGAACCCATGCAGTGGGGCTACCTCCGCACTGCAAGGGTTAGGTGCTCGTTTTGTCTAGGGAGCTAAAAACACAACCTTCACACCATGACTAAAATGAGTTTAGACTGCTGCTGTGGAGGGAGAGCAAGGCTTAATGGACCAGTCTAGGAGCAAGCCGGCATTATGGTTCCGGTAATATTTATTTCTAGCTCCCTAGACAAAATGTGTGGGGGAAGCCCTACTGCACAGGTTAAGAATTGATTTGCCCAGAGTTGTGCTTTAAAATAAAGAAACAAAAAGGCTTCCTAAGCAATGAAATTCACCATACAGCATGTTAAAAATATCATGTACATTAAACTGTCAGCATACGTACAAGTATTTATAACTGAAATCTCTATTGCAAGCATTGAAGTATGCAGTCTTGTATGCCAGCTAATTCTTGAACTTCTGCACACGCACAAAAAGATGGGTGCAACAACAGTACCATACCCCACATGCAGTTAACTTAAGTTGGCCATACACCTATAGATTATCTGCAGATTTTCTATGGTCAAATAGAAAAAGTGCAACAGATTCCCCCATCTACACTAAACTGTGTGGATGGAGGAATCTTGACCATGCTTCAGTATCTTGCTACTCAGCCCTGCTGGATCTCAAAATACTTGAACAATGCCTGCATCCAATAAGATCTGCAGATAATCGATTGGTTTATGGCCAGCTTTAGGGTTTTAACAGATTAGGTTTCATACACTCTTCTTTATTGATAACTGTGTGCATTTGATGCAGTTTTATTCCTATGTGGTATGTGCATTTAAGAAGGTTAGCAGAAGTTAGATAGACACAAAAACATAAAAAAATATATTTTTATTTTAGGCACACCAAGACTTAAAGGGTAAGTTCACCTTTTCAAAAATTAAAAGGTGAACTAACTGTCAACACCTTCCTCACTCCCCCAGTCATGTGAATATCATCTCCCATGCCAGCCGGTAAAACAGTCTAGACATGTGGAAACTTCTTTCACAGCACCGGATCATCATCCACACAACAGCTTGTGGTCATTGGTTAGCGAAACTACATGACAGCAATGATGAATGAGAATATCTTCTGAGCCTTCTTTCTTCTGGGCCAATGTCCCAGAGATTCTCATTGATCAGCTAACCACAGTTAGCCATTTAAAATGTACATACTGTGTGGGAATTTAAAAAAAAGTGTGCTCACCCTTTAACTAACATTCATTAAGACATTAAAGCGGCATATATTTCATAGCAACCCACACTTGTTAGCATATTCTGTGCGTCTATAATGTAGCCTATGCGCACCTTTAAGGATAACATGGACGTATAGTACATTTTGTGAGTCTTCAATTTCCTTGAGCCGGCGTACATACGGTATATATTCTATAATGTACTGGGCCATTTAAATTTTCCAAAGATTCCCATGGTGCAGATGAAAGCTTACCCTGGGATTCTGATTTAGGAGATTAGCTAATCTGCATATTAGCAGCCAGAAACCAAGACAAAACTATAAGTGCATCGAGAATCAAAACTTTTTTTCTCCTTTAGAGTAGACAATAGTAACACATCGTGTTTTTTTTTCATGTCCATATCCTGTTGGGGAGATTTCACTTCCTGTGCTGGTGAAACAACAGGAAGTAAAAGCAAATCTTTTAAAATAAAGGGGAGATCACCCTTAGACAGCTGTCACTGGCCCGATGTTTCCACTATTTTGTATTCTCTATAACTATCTATTACCCTGTTAATGGTCACCAGGACAAACTGATTAGTGAATCTGCTGAGTTGGCACTCAGACAGTTAGAGTAATAAAAAACAGACATAGGGTCTTACCCAACCAGGGTTCAATGGAACCCTGGGGTTTCTCCATAGGTTGCTAGGGGTCCCTTGTGCTGTGGCTGATTTACCTCCCATGTGATGGTTCCTGCTTAGTTCTTTAGATGCCACTTAGAAGAGCCAGCAGAATGATATCAGAGATCTTTTTAGTTCTTTGTAAAGGTGGCATTATGATCACCACTTTAAGGGGGGGTGGAATCTTCCCACAGGCCACCAATGTAAGAGGCATTTTTCCCGCTAAACCTCAATGAATTTGTTTTAGCAGAGTTTCCCCGGGACCTAAAAATGATTCCAAGGGTTCCCCCGGAGTAAACAAAAGGTTGAAAAAGGCTGCTATAGCCCCTGGAACAAAAAACAGACGTGAGGGCGCAAGGCTAGAGGGACTATGAAACTTATTGAAACAAAGTGAGGGAAGCAAGAGGAGATGGATCACTTACTTTTAGGTGGGTCTTGGGACCGGATGGATGTGGAACAGTGAAGGAAATTGTGGAGTCCAACGTAGTGCAATCAGTGAAGGTTAGTGTGTTGCCTTGGGTGGCTCATCACGGGAAAATGAGAAGAGAGGGGTGGACAGGGGTGCAGGTGATGGCACCATTCACCACCATCCCGGCCGATTCTCCATCCTACATCATCACCACGGCATGGACACTGGCCTAGACACGTCCATCTCACAGCCTGAGTTCCTCCACTCGCAGCTGCAGCCCAGCCTGACGTTAGTCCTCACATCACTGGCACTTCACATTGCTTCAGCGGGGACACGGACACACTGTGTGTGCCATCACCTGCACCCCTGTCCACCCCTCTCTTCTCATTTTCCCGTGATGAGCCACCCAAGGCAGCACACTAACCTTCACTTATTGCACTACGTTGGACTCCACGATTTCCTTCACTGTTCCACATCCATCCGGTCCCAAGACCCACCTAAAAGTAAGTGATCCATCTCCTCTTGCTTCCCTCACTTTGTTTCAATAAGTTTCATAGTCCCTCTAGGCTTGCGCCCTCATGTCTGTTTTTTGTTCCACAAGTGCAGGCACTCCTCCTGTCTCCTAGGGCTGCAGGCGAGGTAGAACTACAGCACCCTATTCCCTTGGCCCAATCCGAGAGTGCTGTTCGTATTATTTGTATGTGCTATAGCCCCTGACCATTCTAAAAAAACAAAACAAAAAAAACGTTTTGGCTTTAGATACACTTTAAAAGGGTCACATATAGCGATCTAAACAGTTCTGCCATGCCGAGCTATAGAAAAGTTGTGGTTTAGATTGGAATTTAAATTGCTAATATAGAATACATTTAATGACACACAAATGTAAATGACACAATATGGCATTTGTAAACAACAATACAATCCACTGGAGTCTATATTACCAGAATAATGCAAATTATATGTATAGTTCAGCTTTTGCCTGCGTTTAATGTGTGCATTAAACAACTTGCTAACTCTATTTTACTATAGAACAGCTGACATTTAAAAGACATTTTCTTTCAGCCATTACAAAGCTATTTGATCAAGGTTGTGACAAGAACAGACCTCGAGAATGGAAAGTGAGACTTACCAGGGAGAGTAGGACTCAAAGACATATTTTCCGGTTCACAGTAATCAACATCTGCTTCACTGGTATTTGCCACAATAAAATTGGATTTGATGCCATTGTCACACTCCATTTCTTCGGAAGAAAGATTATCCAGTTCAACTCTCACGATGGACATTGTTAAAATTCTAAAATGTCTCTTTTTTTAAAAAGAAAAAGAAAATCACCTTGTGAAGGCAAAAAAAAACAGACTGGAAAAAGTTTTAGATGGGCATGGGTATTAATTTCAGAGTTGACTCTTAAGCACTTTTTATCTGCGCTTGAATCAGCTGGCTTTGTGGTTCCACAAGGAAGTGTTAAAACAGTTTCTAAAAGAGGAGACACCTCAACGCTTACATTATTTATTCCTCTCCCAGACTTGAAGGAGTCGTCTTTGAAAGTGCTGGATACTGTCACAGGGAATGCAGGGTTTCTGCCTGGCCTCAGATCTAGGAACATGTTCTGAGTTCGTATGTCTGACAAGTTTATGTACCAGCTGGGTGGGGCGAAGTGTTGCCACTCTGAAACTTAGATGCTTCAGCCTAACAGGGGATTCTACTGCAGTTCCTGTATTCTGCACTAGGCTACTAAACTGGCTGGTGGTTTTTTTTTTCCTCTTTTCTAAATGCATTTGCTAGAAAGGTCAAGTTAAAAGGAAACACAAAATTATAACAAGCTGCTTTAAAGCAATACACAAGTAGAAACACTACTATAAACTATAAGACACTAGAAATTCAGTTCTAAAACAAAGACTCAATAGCTTTTTGTCATCTGTAGGATAGTTTCTTGTTCCATCCCTCAACAAAAGTCATTTTAAAGTGCTAATTTAGACGCACAGCAAAACGTGCTGCAGTGCAGTGTGTTATGTGCTGCCATTCATTGTGAATGGCATCCCAACGCATCATGCAGTTGTGGCCAAAGCATGACAACTGCAATGTGTTATGGTGCGCTGTGTTCCCGGGAAAGGATCTTGGGTATTTGGTTTGTTGCAATGCATTGGAAGCTTGGTCATAAAAAATGTACTGCCCTATTGCAACTCATGTTAACATGTCACATAAAGCACTTTAAAGGAGAACTATGGGGTTAAGTATTTTCCCCATAATTCTCCTTAGGGTAATGGGAGGACACAAACTAGCGTCCTCCCGTCACCCTAGGCTCAGTATACAGCGAGCTGCAGCTCGCTGTATACTGAGACGCCGCAGTATACCGCGAGCAGCTGCTTGCGGTATACTGAGACCCCGCAGCTGAAGCGGATCCCGACAATTGTGCCGGGATCCGCCCAGCTGCATGACTGACAGCTGGCTCTGCCTATCAAGAGGCAGAGCCAGCTGTACCCGTCCCCTCCCCCGTCCATTCCGCCAGTCAGCGCTGGCGGATCGGAGCGGGAAGGGGGAATCCAGCCCCTCCCCTGTCACGGCAGAGAGCCGTGACCGGATCGAGAGGTGAGCGAATGCCGGTATATGTTCGCTCACCTCCCGATCTACTGAGCCGACCTGTGACAGTCTCATTGTCACAGGTCGGCTAGAACTATGAGGTGAGTGAAAATCACTCACCTCATAGTTCTCCTTTAAGGAATTTCTGTGCATTCCATAAAGCCACAATAGTGGGCTTAAAAGGCACACATGAACCAGTAAGACAGAGAAACATATGATCAGTTATTTGTAATAGTCACTTAGCTTTCTCATGCCAAAGACAAGTCTCCTAGGGTGCTGCATCCTTAAAGGGCTGATGCTCCATGGGCAGATGCCCATTCAACATTTGTGTGTGTGTGTGTGTTGCCAATCTGGAACACATTTCTTAATCCTGGCCCTCTTTTGTGTCTCTTCTTTTCCTAATGCCCCCCTGTGCTTCTTCCATCACCACCTGTTCCACGCAGTCTGTAGCCATTACTCCAGGTATGCTCCACCTGCCCTTCCTGGTCACTGACTGTTCCAGATATGTTCCACATGTCGCACCTGGCTGCTGGCACTGATTTTGGTACATCCCACCCATCACTCCTGGCCACTGGCACTGTTCCTGGTACACTCCACTTGTCGCTCCTGGTTAATGGCCCTGTTTCTAGTATGCTTCATCTGTCATTCCACACTGCTCCTGGTTTGGCAAGCAGAGCTGGATTGCTCTGCTTGCCAAACTCTGCTGCTCTGAGCCCTTGCAGCCACCCACTGCCACTCTTGGTACATTTACCAAACTCTACTCAGGTTGCGTAAAACATATGGTTCCTTTAGCTCCTCAAGAAGCTTGCAGTCTAATGTCCTCACTACAGACAAAGATCACCAGTGCACCTTATTAAAAAAAGATAAAGCAACAAATGCTGTCATCTTTTGGATGAACATGCCCTTAGTCATATTGTAAACGTTTTGGGCCTACTTACATGTATTAGTTACATTGCATTACTCTAACACATATTACCTGTTTGTTAGAGTAATGCAATGCACAACAGTAATGCATGTTGTGATAGCATTCCTTTTCAATGACATGCCAATGCACCTCTGATGCACATGTGTTATAGCACACCAAAGCACAAGGTAGTGCACTTCTGTGTGTTGTGGCATGCGTCATTGGAAAGAGTGTGCATGAATAATGTAGATAATGTCTCTGTTAGGATTTCAACTCAGTCTTCAGTCATTTTTACAGGTTTGTAAACCAGTGCTTTATATGTTTTTTTCTTTATCACCAAACTGTGAAAAACCATGCTCCCTCTCAGCGTCCAGCCATCATGCCCAGAGAGACATGAGGTGCCCACTGAAGAGCATGCCAACGCTCCAAGGTACAAAATCCCAGGATTCTAAGCAGCCACACACCGATGATGTCACTGAAAAAAAAAATCAACTTTATTGAACTCCAGCCAAACCACACAGTCACACCTCTGGTCCGTCCCACTTTAACACATTTTACCCTACATGTGCTACTATCTCTATGGCGAAGTCCATGTATTGTGAAATGCATTAGCATGGGGCATACCAGAATTGGGACTGTGCGGCACAGTTGGAGTTCCATGAGGTTGATTTTACTGAGTGACATCATCGGTGTGCGGCTGCTTAGCATCCCGTCACTTGTTTTATTTTCCTTGTTTTTATATTAGTTTGTGATCTGGTGATCGGTAGCCGGTACATAAGCCCCCTGGAAATAAGCAGTCTCTTGGGCACAGATTCCAGTAGTGGCAAACAGTGCAGTGTTTATTGGTGATATTTACAAGAGTATTCACAGGTACTGTACAGTGGTTCACAAGAAACTAACAAAAATAAAACCTACCTGTACCCCGGCACTAACTTCATGCACAAAAAATATAGGTCCTAACTAATAGGCTGAGCAGGCCTACTGCTTGTCAGTCTCCACATACGTTTGCTAGTTTTCACCAACCTTTTAGCTCTCTCAGACAGGACTTGTCTGATCCCCAGGCCAAGAGCTCTGACTACAGGTCCCAGGTGACATTAAATTGCCAGTAGTGTGAGGAGTAAACCCTGCACTGGAGCCCAGATCAGCAATTCCTAAATGTTTAGGAAAGGAACCTGGAAGACCTATAAACTCTGAACAGGACTTTCCCAGGCTCCTTCTTGGGCGCTCTGCTACAAGGTATATACTTGTTATTTTACAAATAAATGTTTAGTACATTACAAAATATGCCCACCACACTGCCTGCCTGCCTTGTGGCTTGCCCTTTCTGACAAAAAATCTGACAAAATGATTCACCTCTCTGACTCATTCACCTTGGTGTGTAACTTAAAGCTTGAGTAGTTGAGCTCTTTAAACGTCAGGCACTTTACATCAGGTAGTAAGGGGAGACTGGAAAGCATGTAAAAAGAGAGGGGAAAACATCTCCATATACTGGCTGGAGAGCAGACTACATAAAATACAATATTTTATGTTTAATTGGCTAATAAAAAAAGAAAATTTTTAATATATTTTATTTTATTTTTTAGTTCAGATCATAACAGAAAGAAAAACAAAAAAAACGTAATACAGTCCCCATTATTGACACGTGTACTGGGATACAAATGCTAACACATACATTTATAAAGAAAATACAGACTTTTTCCTGGCATTATGTACATATATGAAGGCAATGTGCAACTTACCGTAGCAGCTGACCAGTATTTTCGGTCCTGGTTGCCATGGGCTGCTGTACTTTGCACATCTTCATTGCTCTTGTGCTCCGACTAAGTAACTGAAAAAACATGAAATCATATTGTATGTAAAAAAAAAGGCATTATGGACACGCTTGCAATGAAACTGTTTTAGAGTGATGAAGAGCGACTCCAAGTGGTCATGTTTTGAAGTTGTCTAAATGACAAAGTACAAATTCTAAGCACTTTCTCAAGCTTTACGCAACTTTCCTGAGTATAGGCTGTGAATTAGACATGTGCGATTAGTTTCCTTCTGAATTAAAATTTGTATGAATTTTTGAAAATCTGGACATTCGTATGCATCCAAATTTCTGAATGAAAGAAATAACAAATCTGAACGTCATTCGGAATGAACTTGTGTTGTTGAACGGTAAAATAAAAAAAAACAGTGTGGAGTCCCCTCCCAATTCTTACCAGTCCCTTTAGGTCTCTTAGGAATTTTGGGGGGACCCCAACCACAAAAAAATAGATGCCTCTTGATCAGGCTACCACACCTACCTCAGGCCAAGACACCCAATGGGAAGGACTTCCTATTAGGATCTTTAAGGGCTCCTGAACCAGTATGTGTCTTAACATCTCTATAGTCCTTATCACATGCTTTTTGAATAATGGATTTAGCTAAATGTAGTTCTATAGAAAAGCTCGAGCCAAAATTACTCATGAATCTGTGTGTAAAATAGTTTAAGGAACCTGGGTGTTTGAATCTAAGTACAGTGTATTGCAGGCGACCCAATGAACCTCTACACAAAACTAGTTTAATTGTTTTGGATAGTGTTATTGTTCAACTGATCAGAATAAGGTGCTGAATCCTCCTTTATATGCTACACAGCTAGTCAAAAAACTAGACATGTTCCACTCTTTGCATTTCACTTGTGGATCTCTAAAACTAATTATGTGTTCCATACAAAGTCATTTCCACTGATACTTCACCAAGTGTTTTGTTAGAAATCAGTCTGCATCGTATTTCCCTTCTATTTACAGACAGGTTCTTCAGAGAGAACGCAAACTGACATAT